TGGAACATATATATATATATAATCGGTTCTCCACCTTCACGCACGAAGCTGCTCGCATCCTCCCTTCCTTCAAACGACTAGAGCAAGACGTCGAAGCTCAAGCCCTCCACTGACGCTCGCGCTTGTCAATATCCTCTGCGATCGTCGTCTCATTCTTCGCGCCAGCGACGCAAGACTTCGGTTTCGTCATCATCTCCTCATTCGCGCCCAACGACACAAGGCTTCGGTTTCGTCGTCATCTCCTCCTTCGCGCTGCTTCACACCCAGCGACGAAACCGATGCATCTTCCAGCTTCTGCGGTTTCATCTTTTCCTCTGCGCCATTTCTGTGGTTCATGTTTTCTGCCTCGTCTAGTTGAGGTTTGCTGAGATTGCCGCTGTGTTTGGCATCTGCGGTTCCTCTTCTGCGCAGCTTCGCCTCGGCTAGTCTTTTTTTACCCTCGGCCCGACTTGCAGGACTTTGCTTTGCTGCGATGGAGCTTCCTCCTTCGGTTGAGCCCGGTAAAACTTCTTTTGCCCACATTGTGGGTAATTCTCAAGGGGAGACGACGGTTGTCTTCCCCTCAAGTTATAAAGAGAATCGTGATGGTACAAGTGATTGTCCATTAAATAAAGAATGCAAGTAAAAAGAGTGGAAATACTATTTTTCTCTGAGTTAGAAATTTCAACCTTGACTGACAAATTCAAATTTGCTCTCATTGAAAAATTTCAGTGGGGACACCCAGCTATGCAAGTTATCAGAAAAGGTTTTGATGACTTCAAATTAGCAGGAAAGTGAAAAGTGTAGCTCATTGATGGGAGACATGTTTTGATTCAGTTAACCGTGCCTGAAGACTACACTCGTATTTTCTCCAAAAAATAACTCAACATTGCTGGTAAACCGAAGCTACTTAAGTGATCTCCAGATTTTGATCCCAATCATGAACCTCCTATTGTAACGGTATAGTTTAGTCTACCTGGTCTCAAGCTGCATTTTTTTGCATTTTTTTCATCATCAGTCAGGTTTTCTACTCTATTAGTGTCATACTTGGGGACCCTATGAAGCTAGATTTACCCACTTTCAACCTTACCAGACCTTCTGTGGCCATAATACTTGTGGAAAGAGATATTATTTTGTCTAATGTTACTGAAGTCTGGTTGGGCACAATGCATAATGGATATTGGCAACAAATCGTCATAAAGCATAGACCTTATTGTTCTCATTGTAAGATGTTTGGGCATACTCTTGATAAATGTCATAAGCTTACCCTAACTTGAAATCTAAAGATCAAATGAATAAAGATAGTTTTCTACTCTATTAGTGTCATACTTGGGGACCCTATGAAGCTAGATTTACCCACTTTCAACCTTACCAGACCATCTGTGGCCATAATACTTGTGGAAAGAGATATTACTTTGTCTGAAGTTACTGAAGTCTGGTCGGCCACAATGCATAATGGATATTGGCAACAAACCGTCATAGAGCATAGACCTTATTGTTCTCATTGTAAGATGTTTGGGCATACTCTTGATAAATGTCATAAGCTTACCCTAATTTGAAATCTAAAGATCAAATGAATAAAGATGGTTCTAAGGATATATCTGTACCACCTGGAGAGAAAGCTACCACATGATATATTTTAATGTCTGATTCTATTGCCCCTGTCGTTACTGTTACGCGAGTGATGTGATGTTAACACCTTCAAATCACATAGAAAACAATATTGATGGACTATTACCTGATGGACTATTACCTCAGACTGATAATCAGGAGAGTCTCGTAGCTCCACTTCTTCAGGAAGTCGTCGCTCCCCTTCTCAGGGAGTTATCCGGTGTAGAGACAACTCATACTTCACAAATACTAGAACCTATTGTGGCCACTACGGTTGGTATTCCTTCTGCTTCAGCCCTACCACCCCATCAGATTGATTCTTCGGATGAGAAATAGCAGGTTTATTCCAAGAGGAAGAAGAAAAATGGAAATCGACTCCAACTCGGGAACATAGTGGATGATACATTGGTTACTGGCAATGTCACTCATCTTACCAACTTATTAGCTTGCTCCTTCCCTGAAACTAGAGGCAGAGGCAACCCCAAATTGGGTCGCTCTCTAGCCACCTGATACTATGTATTTCGGCACTATTAAGTTTTTTTATTTTTGTATCTAATGTATTTTCTGTTTTTTCTAGTTTTGAAATATTTTGTGATTTTTTGTGTGGACAGATGTCATGCTTGGGCCCACACATTGTATCTGTATTTTTTTTTTCTATTTAATACGTTAGCCTTTTCTAGGGGGGAATATA